CTGTCTGACTAAAGACCCAGCCCCCAAGACCACTGCCAATGTCCTCAGTCATGATCCAGCACAGGGTGAAGGGAACTGGTTTTCCAGAAGGCCTTCCTTCCTACTTGATTATTTCTGGATGGAAGACAGAAGTCAGCTGTTCTGAGAATGAGCTGTTCAATCTGCAGGTGAGGAGGAGGAATCCCTTTTACTGAAGTGAGGGCTGAAAAATGAGTATGAGTCTCAGAATCTGCTGAAATGTCTCTGACTGCAATATCCCAGGTGGGACACAGCCTCCTGTAGCACCTGCATCTCTCCCAGCTCATTAGCATTTCCTTGTCATCCCCAAAGGAGCTCACGGCAGGGCAGACCTTCCTGGCTAATGAAAGCTGCTTAGCAACAGGGAGCTAGTTAATAGAGCTCTTGTTATTCCCAGCTCTTCAGACTCCACCCCCGTCTCCCATTACGGCTCATCTTCAGCCCGAAACAACCCTCAGGTTGACCTAGCTGCACAAGTAAGGGCAGGGTAAGGAGACTGATGACTGAGGAGGCAAGGCTGGCCTCTTGGGCCTGGGCTCTTCTCAAAGTCTGGGGGCTGGTGGTGGTAGAAGACAAATGAAGTCCCAGAACCTGCTCTGCTAGATCAGAAGCCTCTCTCTACACACATCAAAGGTTAAACTACAATCCCCACACCCAATCAGAGTAAACAGAGATAATGTGGAGGCAGACATTCTCAGATCTGGAGTTCTCCAGGCTCATGGGTTGAGTCCTCAACTGCCTCAGATTCCTTATTGGTTAGGGATAACTGTGCCTCTTTAAGTCCATGTATTACTAATTCAGATGCACAGTTCAAAACTAAAACTGGGAACAACTGCTCTGTAATTTTGAACCTGAATGGTCTGTGCACAAGTACATGCTAAAAGCACCTTCCCCTCTAAGACAAGGGGTGGCGTGATACCAACCTATGGAAGTGGATTCATGTAGTCACATCAAAAATAGTAATTTGGGGCCAAGGATTTAGCGCAGTGGTTCCGCCGCCTGCCTTGCAAGCGCAAGGACCCAAGTTTGATCCCTGGTACCAAAAAAAAAAAAAAAAGTAATTTGGTTCAACGGGAAGTCTTTGGGGAAGGGGAGGTGGTACTAGGGATTGAACCCGGGGTCTCATGTGTACTAGGCAATTGCTCTACCACTCAGCCACATCTGCAGCCCACAACAGTAAGTCTTTAAAATTCAATTCAGCTGGGGATTTAGCTCTGGTTCTGCCGCCTATCTCACAAGCACAAGGTCCTGAGTTTGATCCCCAGTACCAAAAAAAAAAAAAAAAAAAAAAAAAAATTCAATTCAAAGAACCAGTCCGGGGTATATATAACTCATGAGGCAGTATGTATTTAGCACACACGAGGCAGTATGTATTTAGCATGCACAAGACCTTGGGTTCAAGTCCCAGCAGGAATAAAACCAAACCAAACCAACCAAACAAACAAGAAGCTCAAAAACCAAAGACTGTCGCTGGGCGTGGTGGCACAGGCCTGTAATCCCAGACCTCGGGAGGCTGAGGCAGGAGGATCGCTGTGAGTTTGAGACCATCCTAGGCTACATAGTGAGTTCCAAGTCAGTCTCAACTACATCGTGAGACCCTGTCTCGACATCCCCACCACCAAAAAAAGACAAAAACAAAGACTATCATAGATCCTAATGCAAACCTGACATGACATTTTAGGACAAAAAGGGGATATCAGGGCCGGGGATTTAGCTCAGTGGTTCTGCTGCATGTCTCACAAGTGCAAGGATCCGAGTTCGATCCCAGGTACCAAAAAAAAAAGAGGCCATGGGATACCTGGCCCCCTTTTCTGTAGGAGCTGAATAGTGGTTGCACATTTTCACAAAGAAAAAGAGCTATCAGGTCACCGTGGTCCCTGATAGTTCCCATTGTCTTTGTGGATATTTTCTGTCTGGCTCTGTAGGCATTTAAGTTTGTACCGATGGTCCTGAGCACCTCCCCCCAAGGACCAGCAGAACAGGGGTGCCTTTCCTTCTGGACTGAGTTCAGAACCCTGGAGATCATTCTAGTTTATCAATTGAAACTTGATGAAAGGAAAATTATTCCTTTTGAGTGTGATATCCTGGCTTGCTAGAAAGAGCCTGAGCTTCCATGCAGGAGGCAAAAGCAAAAGCCACACTGCTTCCAGGGGACTCCTGGGCCAAGGGGAGAGCTGACAGCTATTTCTTACTCAAATGGTCTGAATGCGGGACACCCACAAGTTTTCTCCTGCTTGTATTCTTCTAGCCCCTTCTCACTCATTCTCCCACAGCCACCCAAACATGACACCCGTGCACAAACCGTTTGCACGGTTTGATTCTGTTTTCTCTAGTGTACGTGCTTTGACAAAGCTTAGCATTAAGCCCCAAATAACTGGGCCATCTGCAGAGTCCTTCTAGTGATGACAGACACGGGCAGAAAACAAGGGAAACAGCATAGGTGGAAAGAAATAAGAGTTCTAATAATCTTCACAGCTACTTAACATAAGACTGGCCAGCCTTTTCTCCAGCATAGGTGCTGCCAAGAAAAATTGAGATCAGGTTGCTCTTTGGAAACCTGGGAATCAGTACATCATCTCAGAGAACTGGGAAACATCCAGAAAGGAGACGGTTGGGCTGGGGATTTAGTTCAGAGGTGCCAAACCTGCCTCGCAAGTGCAAGTTCCTGAGTTCAATCCCTGGTACCGTGGGTGGGTGGGGGATAAAAAAGACAAAAAAAAAAAAGAAAAGGAGATAGTGGGAACTGAAATCCTGCAAACATTTTCTGAACTCTTACATTGCTAGGAACATTTACAGGCATCAACTCAATCAACACAAAAAATTCCTTAAGGTGGGAATCATTGCCATGATCGTTAAATTTTTTTTTTTCTAAATCTGGGGGATTGAGTCCAGGGCATTATACACACTAGGCAAGTGTTCTATCACTGAGCTTGGTCCTTTTTTATTTTTGATTTTCAAATAGGGTCTTGCTGAGGTGCTTAAACTGGGCTTGAATTTATGAACCTTCTGCTTCAGCCTCCCAAGTAGCTGGGATTACAGGCATGTGCAACAGCACCCAGCTTCACTGCCTTGATTTTAAAGCAAACTGAGGGTGACAGAAGTTAAGAAACTTGTCCAAGGTAACTCAGGTAGTCACCAGGATTCAAATCCCAGTGTCACTCAGAGTGCCTCTGCTCACAGGCTGTCTCTCCCCACTCCATCCCATAGCTCTGTGCTTTATTTTCCTTCAGTTTTTTTCCCCCTCTTTTCTGGCTTGCATGTATTCTTGCTTTCTTTTCAGTATTGGGGATTGAACCTAAGACTTTACATTGAGCTATATAGCCAGCCTTATTTATTTATTTACTTATTTTTGGTTTTCTGACAGAGGGTCTCACTATGTAGTTCATGCTGGCTCTGGACTCATGATATAGGCCAGAATGGCCTCAAACTTTTGGGGATCCTCCTGCCTCAGCCTCCCAAGGGATTATAGGAGTGCACCACTATGCCCTGCTTGAGCCCACCCTTTTATTTATTTTTTGGTTTTTTGAGACAGGGTCTCACTATGTAGTTGAGACTGACCTGGAACTCACTATGTAGCCCAGGCTGGTCTCAAACTCATGGCTATCCTCCTGCCTCAGCCTCCCGAGTGCTGGGATTATAGGCATGCGCCACCATGCCCGACTGAGCCCACCCTTTTAAATTTTATGTATGTATGTATTTATTTATTTGAGACAGAGTCTCACTATATAGTCTAGGTTGGCCTTGAACTCATACTGATATTCCTGCCTCAGCCTCCTGAGCGCTGGGGTTACAGGTGTGTACCACCACACCTGGCTCAGCCTTTTTAAATTTAAAAATAATTTTTTGGGGCCAGGAATTTAGTTCAGTGGTTCCACCACCTGCTTTGCAAGCATAAGGCCCCAAGTTTGATCCCTGGTACCCACCACCCCAAAAAAAATTTTTTTGGAGACAAGATCTTGCTAAATTGCTAACTTGCCCAGGCTGGGCTCTATATTGCAATCCTCCTGCCTCAGCCTTCTGAGTAGCTGGGATTATGGGCATGTGCCACCATGCCTGGCAAGGCCCAGCTTTCTTTATAATTCTTTTATTGTTGTTGTTGTTCTTTTATTGAGTTTATTGGTACATTTTAGGTATGAAGTACAATTACATTCATTATCTTTATAATTCTTATTGCTACCTATTATTATATATCTATCTGTGCAATGGTTTTCTTTCTGTCTCCCTAAAAAGAATTTAAATCTTGGGGCAGAGACTTTGTACATCTTGTCAAGACCGTTTTCCTGCATGGAAAATTTCACCTTGAGCCCTTAGTGAATGTTTGCTGTTGGATGGAAGAGTAACTGTCTAATCACACTGCTGTCAAAAAGCACACCCTCTACCTGCCTGTGGTGGTGCTCACCTATAATCTCAGCAATTGGGAGGGTGAATTAGGAGGGTTACCATGAATTCGAGGCCAGCCTGGGCTACATAGTGAGTTCAAGGGCAGCCTGAAATACATAGCAAGACCCTGTCTCAACAAAACAACCCCCACAAAAAAATCACAAAAAAAAACACACCTTTTTTTTTTTTGGAACCAGGGATCAAACTTGGATCCTTGTACTTGCAAGGCAGGTGGCAGAACCACTGAGCTAAATCCCCAGGCCAACTGAGCTAAATCCCCAGTCCCACACCTTCTAAACTAAGCATGGTAGTGTAGCACATGCCTGTAATCCCTTGGAAGGCTGAGGCAAGAGGATCCCCGAAAGTTTGAGGCCAGCCTGGGCTACATTATGAGTCCAGAGCCAGCATGAGTTACACAGCGCGACCGGAGCACTTAATCTGCCTGAGGCAGGAGAATCACCTGGAGTTCAAGGCTAGCCTGGACTACATGGTGAATTGCAGCCAGATTTGAGAACTACTAAACCTGAGCACTCATTTTTCTGGGCCCCAGGATGTCTTCAGTTCTAAACCTACCTCCCATCATCTCTAAGTCATTCACTCACCACACAGAGCAATGATGTGGCTGCTGTCTTCATGCACAAATTTCTTGGTGACAGCTTCCTCCATGATTTGCTTTACCTGTGGACAAATGGAGAGCATGATTACTTAACCATATTTACTTTTTCTTCTGATCTTAGGACTCCAGGAAGCCTGGGGGTGTAGCTCAGCTGTAGAATGTGTGCTTTGCATGTGTAAAGCCCTAGGTTCAATCCCCAGCACCAAAAAAAAAAAGCCTCCAGGAAGGTAGATAGTTTGGTTCTGAACTCCTGGTCTGGGTTATTAGACATTTACAGAGATGACAAGCTCGTAAGGTAGGGAAACAAACATTTTTCAACACAGCCTACTCTAAACCTTTTGGAGAGGAAACTGGGAAAAACAATGTCAAAACCCACCAAATGGTCAGGGCAGAGGTTCTAGTCCAGATAGAAGTGCCTAGCTTGGAGAACAGGGACAGGAGGCAGTTTGATCATGTGTGCTCAGCCAGAGATGGGCTTCTGGGAACAAACATTGTCCTTAGGGAAAGACTGTTTCAGTACAAGCTCCATAAAAACAACCTGCCTCTCTTTTTCTCCCTCTTCTCCAAGGTTAGGGCTAGGTCCACTTGCTTTGTGATCCTATTTTATCTGGATTTTAAAACCCTGGTGTTTTCGGTTCTTCCTCATGTATAAAAGCTTCTAAATACCTAATAAGGTGAACAGTCACATCTTCCTTAACACTTGAGGGACTTCAAGTGCACAAGGTGACATTGCTCTGTGCACTGTCTAGTATGTGTGAGACCATGGATTTTAGCCCTTGACTGAAAAAAAGCAAAGCCAAAAAATGTAAAAACTAAAAGATATTTACTGTTTAAGTATTTATTTATTTTAATACCAGGGGCAGAAACCACGCCTTTGCACTGAGCCATATTTCCAGCCCTTTTCAGTTTTTGAGACAGGGTCTCACTAAGTTACCTATGCTTGGTTTGAACTTGTGATCTTCCTACTTCAGCCCCACAGACTGCTGGGATTATAGGCATTTGCCAACACACCTGCCTTATTGACTGTTTCTTTTTACTATTCTATAGACAGACAGAAAAGTCTATATGATAATTTTACAGCTTGATTAATTTTTTTTTTCTTTTTTGGTACTGGGGATTGAACTCAGGACCTTTCGCTTGCAAGGCAGGTGCAGTGCCACTGAGCTAAATCCCCAGCCCTGCAAGCTTGGTAAATTTTCACCAATTGAACATTTCTGTAAAACCAGCATTTAGAGCAAGAAAAATATGTGATCAGCAACTCAAAGTGCCCCTGCTTTGTCATGTTCCTCTCTGGTTACTACCTCTAAGGGTACCCATCATCCTAACTTCCAATGCCATTAGCTTTACTTTCTATACATGGCAGTAATTTCAGCCAAGCATGGTGGCACACACCTGTAATCCTAGCACTTGTAAAGCTGAGGTAGGAGCACTGCTGTGAGTTCAGAGCCAGCCTGGGCTACATAGCAAGACCCTGTCCCCTCATTATATATTAATGTGTGTGTGTGTGTGTGTGTGTGTATAAAAGCACAGTATTTGGCGAATAATTTGGTTTTGCTTACCAGTGTGACTGTGAGATTTGTTCATGTTGTGTACAGTTATCAGTTGTCTATCCCTATTTGTGAGTGCAACACAAGTGACTGGCATTTGGGCGTTTCCAGTTTGGGGTTGTTACGAATGGTATTGCTGTGAACATTCTAGACATGTCTTTGGTGAACATCTGCGTATACATTTTTAAAATGTATACTTCTATGCAATGAATTTCTGATGAATATATGCCAGAATGTTTCAAAGGTGGTTGTACTAATTCAAACTCTCATTAGCATTGTATGAGGTTTCAGTTGCTCCAATCACTTGGGCCAAGCATTGGTGATGTCCTGGGAATATTCCACGAGACAGATACTAACACTGCAGGTTAGAGAGAAGGATTTTCTCAGTCCCAGGGTAAAATCTTACAGATAAAGTAAACTCTGGGCATAGCTAGTCTTTGCCATTCTTTGGATGGGCTTACAGGTCCTGGCTCCCAAGGCCCATCACTCACCACTGTACGGTTTGGAGAGTGGTACAGCATCCAAGGCATGGTGACAGAGGGAGGAAGAGGAGGAGGGAGGGAGACCAGATGGGCTGGAAAAGCTCATGGTTAGTGGTTAGGAAAAGGGGGATGAGATCAGATTGATTCTTGCATGTTAAACTGTTAAAAGCATCCTAGATTACTTCCCAAGGGGTGTTTGCATTAAACAGGGCATAATGTCACAACTAAAGATCTGCAGGCATCTAAAGCAGGCTGGTGGGGCATTTTGGGAGGTTAGGAAGACTAACAGATGCTCCTACAATTATATTAGTGGTCCTTTGTAAAGGCCAGCTTTGCCTATAATTGTCCCTATTCTTTCTTTCCTTATCTTTTTTCTTTTTCGGGTACTGGGGATTGAACTCAGGATCTTGTGCTTACGAGGCAGGCGGTGAAACCACTGAGCTAAATCCCTGGCCTTCCTATCTTGTGTGTGTGCGTGTGTGTATGTGTGTGGGGGGCACCGGGGATTTAACTCAGGACCTTGCACTTGCAGGGCAGGCATGGTGCCACTGAGCTAAATCCCTGCCCTAGCGGCACAGTTTGTAATAGCTAAAACTTGCAAAGAGCCCAATTGCCCAACAACTGGAGACTGAATAAAGATGTTTTTTTTTTTTTAATAAAATGGAGTACTACTCAGCCATAAAGAATGAGAAACTTATAGAGACATTTATAGCTAAACAGATGTACAGTGAGGCCATACTCAAGTGTAATAAATAGGACACATGTGTAAATACTGAATAGTTTCTCTGGCATGAAAAACTAAACACGTAAATAAGGATGAAAATATACAATTGATAATGTGAAATAGGAAGAAAAGGTCTAAAGGAGTAGGGGAAATGGGAGGGATAGGGTAAAGGAAAGAAGGAAAAATGTAAGAAAAGGAAAAAATGGAAACAAAGTCTTTGTAAACAGGGAAGGGTGGAGGGGGTGAAGGGAGGGCAAACAGAATAGGGAAAAAATGAGAGCCAAGCTACATCTTGTAAAGCTACATGATCCCAATGATGAATGTAACTGTATTGCATACCTCAAATGTACCAATAAACAATGGAAAAGAAAATCTCTCCCCATATTACCCTAGCCAACCACCAAATGAGATCATACCAATAATCCTTAGAACATTTGTCCATAGTTTGGGTTCAGCTACTTTTCTGTTTTTGTTTATACTCTTATTAAAACTCTGTCACTAGACTTTTTTTCTGAAGATAATTACCAGATTTCTCTTTTCCTTGGAGAGGCCAGAAGCTGAGGCTTATATGCTGATTTGATATTCCTTTGGTTTAAGAAACCTTCCCACTCTTGGCAAAACCCTATCTCAAAATTTAAGTGGGGCAGGGCTGGGCATGTAGCTCAGGATGAAGGTCCTTGATTCTATCCCCAGTACCACAAAATCAAAACAAAACCGTTTCTTGGTCACTTCACAGCAAAAGCCCAGTGGAGCAGCTTACACAAGCTGGAAAGGTGATGGCTTTAACAACATCCGTCATGGAGAGGGAAGGGAACAAATGTTAGGGCATAGCAGCTAGGCTATACTTAATGGAGAACGACCTAGAATTTTTGAGGATTTTATGAGAACGCAAATCCTGCCCTAATTCAGAAACTCTAAGGGTAAAGGACCCATCAGATTTTTATATGCAAGATAGATATCATCTCTATTTTTAAAAAGTTAAAGAAATCAAGACTCAGGTTAAGGGCCAGGTATGATGGTGCACACCTGTGATCCCAGCACTCATAAGACTGAGGCAGGTGGATCACCTTGAGCTCGAGGCCACTTAACAGTCACCTTGAGTTCAAGGCGACCTTAAACTGTACAGCAAAACCCTCTCTTAAAAAAAAGGAAAAGGAGAAACACACACACACACACACACACACACACACACACACACAAACAAAAATATAGGGCTGGGAATTTAGCTCAGTGGCTCTGTGCCTGCCTTGCAAGCTTACGGTCCTGAGTTCAATCCCCAGTACTGGAAAAACACAAAAAAACAACAAAAAAAAGGACCAAGGTTAAGTAACTTAATCAAGGTTACACAGAACTAGGTCCAGACCAATCCTAAAGTTCATTTTCTCTCACCAGACCTCACAATTTCCAAGATCAGCAGATTTTTTTTACAATATACCGTGTGTGCCTGGCACTGGCTACAGCACATCAGAAAAATGGGTGGGTTCCCCTAAACAGGTGGGTTCCCCTCCCTCATGAAGTGCATACTTAGCCAAAGAAGTAGGCTGGGGGAAGGAGGCCCAATTCATTCCATCTAATATGCAGGCTTGAGCTCTCATATGCGGGTGAGTCATTCATTTGGACCCCCCCCCGTGCCGAAACTGAAATGGACTTATGAGCAGGGTCAAGGTAAAGCAAGCCCAGTAAAAAGGGCTCTCTTCTTTCTGATGTAAGAGTTTCCCTCAGAAAGGAAAATGTTGAAGTCTTAAAAACCACCCCCCACCCCATTCCAGGGTAGCAGGTGGGCGTGGAGGGAGATACAGTGAGGTGTGCAGCGAACCCTCCAGCAGCCACGACTCAGTTGCCTGAGGGATACCAGAGGGGGGCTAAGGACACCGAGGAACTGAGCCCCCAAATTACCAGCTGGGTACCTCAGCAGACCCGTGAGGGGCCCGCCCCCTCCCAAGGCAGCCCAGGCAATGAATGGGGAGCTCTGGTTTTCTAGAAATCGCCGCCACCCCTCCCCCGATCTCGGTCTCCCCGCGCTGCTGCCGTCACAGGGCGGGGAGCTGTGGGACAGCGAAGCAAACAAGCCCGGGAACGCAAGCTTGGCCCCGCGGCCGAGGGGCGCTGCC